AAAGTACAATAAATAAAATTCAAATTATTTATATTTAATTACATAATTTTAAAAGAATAATCATTAGGTCAGTTTGTATTGAACAATGAAATTATTTTTTTATTATAAATTATATAACAAAAAATAATACTTTTTTAATCCTTAATTCATCTTTGATTCGGATTTAAGAATTTTTATTTTTAAAAAATATTTTTAGATTATTTAGATAGTTTTTTAATGAAATTTTTATGTTTTAAATAAAACTAAGAAAAGGAACGGTTCCCCATCATTTGGAGCTAGAGGTAAACTGCCGTAGGCAGGCCCACCCTCGAGATCACGCCACGTCATTACTCTACTCACCTATTCAGGAAACCTAATGTTTACGTGGCTCAATCTCCGTACGGATAGTGTCACCTCAACTATTTAATTTACTAAAATATTTAATTTTATTTATCCGTTAAATCCCTCCGCATTTCCGGAAGACAAAAAGTTAGAAAGTCCCACTCTCAAAGATTGACAGGTATCAGATTCACAACCGTCGGAATTTTCCATCGTCGTATCTGAATCGTTCCTCTTATCACCGGCGGTGGCTGTCTCCGTGCCGCTCCGCCGTTGGATTACTGGTCTACGGTTAGTTTCTCAAACCCTGTCTGCTAGTATATTACTTTCTGTGCTTTTGCTTTTCTGAGAAAATTGATTGCATATTTTTCTTCCTTAACGTTCGGAATCTATAGAATCACTGGATATGAAAGTCTGATTGTGTTAGTGAAGTAGTGTTGCTTTGGTTTTTGATGACATTTTGATTGATTTTAACGAATCTAATGGAATGAGTTAATGATCTGCTTATATAAACATGCTGAATCGCTGATTGAACTTTATTTAATCATTTTGTTTGAATTTGGATGATAAAAGCTCCTTAATTTAATTGATTTAAGGTTGATGGTACGAAATTTAAGGTAGAGATTGCAAGCGAGATTCCTTGCATTAGATTTTTGTATGAAGATTAATTAACAACTTGTTCAAATTTTTGTTTTTATTTTGTTAATGAAGAAGATTAAATTAAACAAAGCACAGATATTTTTTTACTTTTAATTCTGATTTATTTTTTTTAATAGCTTTATGGGGTGGTAAATCTTATCAAGTTTGCTTCATGAAAA